GGTTTTCATATGAATCATTTAAATAAAAGCATCAACAGCACTTCTCAAACTTTTAATGAAGCTGTGCAATCTTGGAGGCAAAATGTGTTTAATGTTAAAAGATAATATTTTAATCATCAATTGTGTTCTTCCTTCACTCTCATGCCTGGCTCAATTTCAAACACTGCATCCGGCACAGTGAGCAGCCGAAACCTCTCATGGTGAGAAAATCCAGCCAAACAAAAGATTAATTGTTTAATAAATGAATTAATCAATTCAGGAAAAAGCTTTAATTTCTAATTGGTCTCCGGTTCCCCCGGGGACCGAGAACCCTTTTGCTGTGAGGCCGTGCTACCCTTGACAAAAGATACAGACGAAAAGTGAAAAGAAGTGAAAAAATTGCTATTGCTCGCTCACAGACAGTAACTGTGGTAGCTAAGGTGAGGAAATGCCTTCAGTAATTTGTAATGAATTCTTTCCAAGAAGGGAGTTTCCACATGTAGCTGAGTTACTATTAGACTTGTCTAAACTGTATATCCACTGTGTAAGGTCTCCGGTCTGCTGTCATCAACTAAAAACCGAACCTTTGTCTATGTGGCAAACTTAATTAAAAAACAGATTACTAAATAGGGTTTGGCAAAAAGAAAAAATGAGACATCTATTTGGCAGACAGTCTGCGGCTTTGCTTCCAGTAAAGAAAAATTAATCACAAAGTCCTGTTCATTTTTTTCATTTGAATCTCATTTGCTGGTGTTTACAACACTGTCTATACAAGATAATCATTATGCTCATTGAACCTTGCTCCTTATTGCATTTACAGTTTAACTTAACTTTCTCTTTAACACAAATAGAGGAATGCCTGGCATAATCAGAGGCACAAACTAAATAATCGTTATAAAGTTGCGTGACCAGGAGTTGCCTTTTTAAGGGAAATGATGAGGTAATAAATACGGGTAATCATAAAACCCTGAGCGTGTGTGTCACTCATATTGTGCTGTCTGCGTCTAAGTGTTTATTTCACTGTGTGAATCACTAGCATGACAGCCCATGTCTTGGAATGAAAATGACTAAACCTGCATTTGGCTGTGTCTCGATGTTGACGCAGACACAAACAGCAGGGACACCTGTTTACGGCACGTCACCACCTGCAGGGTTCTGATTTTCCTTGGTTCTTCACGTGAAGAAAAGATGTGCCATGTGTTCGGGTGGCCTGCAAAACACATAGGAGTCAAACATCGTGTTGTTTGTGTGCATTTTCAGTGTATGCATACATCATATATTTGACAGAAAGTGTGTCTGAGTGTGTCAGAAGGAAACCTCAGGCTCATAACTCACACAGAGTAGTGACAGGAGCTTCTGAGATAGCCCGTGCAGATACACGATCCAGGCTGAGGCCGAGCTCACAGCTGCCCCCTTTTTCCAGGAACAAGTACACAAGGCTCTGTAACTGCCAACTGTCAAGCCTTTATCATCAACTCCATGTCCTGGTGTAAACGTGTGTGTGTGAGTGTGAGAGAGTCGTGGTCTTGTACGGTGAAGGGTGGTGCAATGTGGTCACTGATGGATGGATAAAATTCAACAATCAACTGTGTCAAAGCAGGGGTGTAGTGTTAATGTGAAGGAAAGACTGATATGTCAGTGCGTTAGTGTGTGTGGACATAAGGTTCAGTTGCTAAATGATAAACTCAAAATAAATTAAACGATTCACTGTTCTTTAGATTTCGCTTCATGCATTATTTTTCTTTGTTCCTGGACAAGGCTAATCTGAAATCACAATAGATTTGGTGCCAGTTTGAACAAATTACTTTTCCTGTGTTGGATTTTTCTGCCGCATGCAGGCTCTCTGTTCCATCCCCTCATAAATCTGTCCCATCCTAATCCTCCTCCAGTGTGCTGAACAAACCCCTGAGATGTAAGAAGAATGAGGGCTTTGTCTGAGTTTGCTTAGGCGTCGCTGAAATATTAACTGGCCACAGTTCTCGTAGAACTTGGAAGTGCTTCTGCCGTGTCCTCAGTCTTATAGGAGTTTAAATTCAGGACAAATCAGAGATGCAGATCGAACCTTGAAGCACGGATGAACAAAAAACAAAAAACAAAAACAAAGACGGAGCAGATTTCATTTCCAGACTATGAGACAAATTCATGGAGGATCTGTTTGCAGAGCTGCAAAAGATCTCACTTCCCAATACAGAACAAAACTGTTTGCAGAGGGTCTAGCCTGCAGTTTTTCTCAGCTTTTTTTTGCCACATTTTTTAAATCAAATCACCCAGAAGTATGCGGGAAAATTTTTTGGAGCCAAAGATGACCCGTACAAAGGATCTGAATACTCATGAACAGATCAAACATGGGGATTTCACCATGTTTGGCCTTCAAGATTAAAATTACGATTTCACTTGCCCTCCTTAACGGTTATGGTTTGAACAAATACAACTACCTTTGTTTGGCAGCTAATCGGATGTGTTAGAAACCTGTGTCATTGGTTTTGGATTCATTTATTCGCATTTAACAGAAATTTTCAACTCTGTCCTATATGGTAAAGTCATCTCACCAAAATGCAATATCTCTATTGGTCCAGAGTGGAAAGTATATTTTACAACATAAGCATATGTGCGTTGTTGGAAAAAAAAAGGAAGCTTAAAAACCTACATTTCCAGTCATAGGTATTTATTGTCTCTGGCACCTAATAATGTTGATAAGAACACAATAACCAAGACTGTAGAGTAATGTTTAAAGGGAATGCTCCGGAATGCTGGAGTGGAAACAGCTCACTGATTAGTGGGACTTACTGCTATACTGTAAAGAATTTTAAAAAATGGTTATTTCAGAGCATTGTGTTTATGCGATAGTGTATTGTGTAGATGCAGTATCTTAGTACTATCTTGTTCCTTGGGCGGCAGTAACTCCCGACTATACTCCAGTCTTGTTTCTGATGTATTTCTCAAAGTGATGAAGATAAAAAGATGGATAATTATTGAAATGGATTATTCAATTAATTTCAATACCAATGTTTAAAAAACAACAACGACCTGTAAACAAAAAAGTTTGTTTCCAAATAACTTATTGTTATTTAAGAAAGGGAAATATTGGTTGTTATTTTCTTGGGTTGTAGACTTAGAAAATAAGGGTAATATGTATAAACTCTTATGTCTACTGTCGAGCTGTGTGACTATTAAACATGCTAAAGCCACATATGATATATGTTTCCTGTCACATGGTGCTTTTTGGTGGAATTGGTCTGCAAGCAGCACTGATAACACTGTTTAGACTGGCTGTTCTGTAGACGGTGTCTGTCTGATTGTGACAAAAAAAAAAACACAACAAAAAACAGATGTGTTTTGTTAAGGTCATGAAGTGAGTGAGATGAGGGCCTAAACGTGCAAAGGAGTGAAAAAAACATGAAAAAGAGAGACAGAAAATAAGTTTTAAAGGACAAACAGAAGTAATCGTTTAGCTTGTTGTGTTTCATAATGGAATGATAATTTCCGGAGAATTTCTAAAGGCAGTTGGAGTTTAAAACTTAAAACATACGTGTCAATGTGAAAAAGATATCAGAAGTAATGTTGGTTTCTTAATGAAACCTTTTATTTGCCTGACTTTTGTTGACTAGTGCAAAAATGCAGCTCTAGCTCGAGGTGGAAGACATTATTAAAGAATGTGACCCACAAGACCAGGGAAATTAGATACTGCGCTAAAGTGTGCTGCAGCCCTGTGTGGAACTGAGAACAAAGAAGTCTGTTTATGTAGGTTTAGTGACAGGGCTGAACATAAAATGAATATGTCTTGAACACAGTGGAATGGACTGGTTTGGGAAATCCTATTTAAGCCTAAACCTGCAATGAGCAGAGCAAAGCACATTTAATTAGCGGAAATTTCCATCTGGATATAAAGTCACCCAGGTGTAACCGAAGACATTCTCTACTTGCTAATCATTCATCTTGAAATATGTTGTTGAAATGTTAAAATTTACAACGGCAATGAAAAGTTGTGCTGGGAGCCTGCAGAGAGAAACAAACTCTTGATTTCGCACCTCTCAGTCCCCAAGAGAGACATCATACCTATACTGGACTGTAGAGAGGCAATTACAGTTCCTGTTACAGCCATAAATTAACCTCAGCGAAGCAGGCATGGGTATATACACACATTTCCCATGTAAGTTCCCATTTTTGCTGTTCAGTGCAACGCACAGACATGCATGCTCAGGCTTATGTACACGCCAACGCCTCTATTTTTTCTCTTTGTCATATCTCATATCAGTAATCTCATTTTTCAAACCATTCTTTATCTGCCTGCACCATTCACTACCCTTACAAACACAGTGTGATCAACAGATTATTTTGGGAGGTTTATTTTAAAACCTTCAATAGTTACAAGGAGCAAAAGCATTACTACTTTGCACAGCTTTTTGTGTAATTTTGCCATTATGAGACTTGCATTGCTCCCTAACAGAGACATTAGCAAAGTTTTGTAGTTTTCTCAATGTACAATTGTTTTTATCCAATTTTGTGGCTTCTACCTTGCAACAGCACAGAAAAATTAACAAGATCCTAAAAGATGACCACATGCTTTGTACTTATCATTTGGCAGTTATTACTCCAGCCTGGTTAAGAAAGCCCCCAAAATCTTCAAAAGAAGGCAAAACTTCTGTGCTACACTTTTAGAGATAACAAATAGAGCAGAAATCTCTCCATTGAACCAATAAAAGGATCCAGAGCTTGGAAAGTTTTTCTTGTTTCCTTTGGTTGTCAGGAAAACAAACATATGTAGTAAAATTGTAGGGCAGAACATAAACAACAATACCAAGGTTATTGAAAGTGATTTTATTTCCATTTTCCATTTGGTTCTTAAAGGTAATTTATCTCTCATCAGAATGGTTGTGACCCCAGGAGTGGTTAAAGGTACTCTAACAGTCGAGATGAAGAAGGCTCTTGGATGACAGATGGATCCTCTTCAGATAGCAAAACAAACTAACATAGAAATCCTTTATTAATTTTTTTTGCAAAACCAATAGATGTATTTTGACCTGAATAACTGAGAAACATAAAAAACGTATCCACAATCTGAATGAAAAAACAACAAAAAACATTCAAGTTCCTGATCACGTGATCATCTTTTCCCCCTGCAGTGTAATCTTTATCCACACTTTTTACTTTTATGCAATGTGTGAGTGACGATGTGGAACAAAGGTTTCTGAATTTAGAAGTCTGAACAACTTCCTCCCATTCTGAAACTCGACACCCACAAAGCGCTAAATGAAATGTGTTCACCTCCCATGAAAAACAACACTTAAGCTTCTGCATGAGCTTCTATTTACTCCGCAGTGTTGACTGTAAGTGACAGTAGCGGGGTATCGTTTGACCTCTTGAAAAATCCAAATATCATAGTTGCTTTTTATATTAATAAAGTCAAAGTTCAGCCCGCAAAGTTATTATGAAATCGTTAACACAACCGGCGGGGCCTCCTCGGTCTGTTTGGGTTTGTTGACACGATTTGTTACGCCTCCGTGACCCACCAAGCCTTTGACCTCCCTCTGCCACTTTTTCTTTATCTGGGGTCAAAGGTCAACAGTCAGCCGTCAGTGCTGTCCAGACGATATTCACACAGACCGCAGCCTGGAACCCCGTCCAGACATCCAGCTGGAGCAAACATCTTTGTCAAACGGCAAGCCGTTTTTAGTGTGTTGTGAACAGGTCATCAATTACAAACAGCATTAACCTCAGCCCTTTGGTGACTTGTCAGCCCTTATTACGTTTTGACGCGTGACACACAAAATTGGGGACGTATTCCAAAATCATCGAGGCTGTTTTTTTCGGCGTGACGCAGCCAGCTCCCAGGCGGCCGCTGCGTTTAATCACTTGTAGCAGTTCTCCCTTTTGTTTGGTCGAGAAACAACCTTTCCCACGTAGATTAGGCATGAATAGGCATAGGGGCACTTTTTTTTTTCTTCATAACCTGTTTCCAGTTAGAGGGTTTGTGTGAGTCATCAAAGAGAAAGGGTAGTCACCACAATGTTGCTCACATGCAGGCAGGCACAGGCATAAGAGCACGCACCGCTACAGTGGATCCCCACGTAAGATGAAAATCCTGATAAGATTAAGTAGAAGTTGCTCTAGCTGAACGTTTTTCTATTGTCAATGTGTTTTCACTGGAGTCACCTTTGACAAACTGGTTGCTCTCAGGTTTTAAGTCGTGCCACTAAAACAAACTCAACGTTATTGTGTCCAAATGGACTGAGACTGTAAGGAATACTTGAAGGTTCTTTTGGCCTAAAATGTTTGCTTGCACTTTGTGGCACAAAGTCACAACAGCTTAATGACATTAGAGTGCTAAAAACTCATCTGCAGTTCATGTAACTTTGAGCAGACATTTTTAAAAGGAGGAAAACGAATTAAAACAAAGTGCTGTCCTTCACTGTGGTGACCAAACATATCTGATGGTGCTCCTACAGTTAAATTTGAAAATAATAACACTAATATAATGCCATACTGTGTCATGCATACTGTAATGAGAAAAAACTCACTTTGATGATGGTAAACTACAAAATTAAACTTCCTTTAATGCTCTTGAAGATCTTTAAGATTCCATTTAGCCGTTACACTCTGTGTGAAACTCTTTGGCTTAGATCCGGTCTTATCAAACAAATCCAAAAAACTGTTCCGTCGAGTAAAACCAGAATGGCACGATATGACCTCTTACCAGGTGAGCGCTGCAGATTTTGTTGCTGTCTGTTTGGACTGGTGCTTCAGCGAGTACCCTGTGTGTTTAATTCATTCTGTAAAACAGAAAAATAACCGACCTCCTTCAACTGTTTTTGCATCTTCAAGTATCTTCTCAATAGGTAAATATATAAGCTAATTTCTGTCTTTCTCATCAGGTACATAAGCTTTTGTGTGACCTGTCCCTGATTCCCAAATCTTTTGTCATGGGTGGTAAAGTTTAACAAGTAAAAACAACTGTGGTAGTCCTGACAGGAGTGACTGAAGGCACCCAAAGGACAGCTGGGAAATGCTCTGTTATTCCATGCCGTCTCAGTCCTTGGAATTGTAAGTTCTATACATTCACACTGTCCCTGGAGAATACCAAAGAATGGTATATCACTGAGAAAAATATCCAGGAATGCCGTCATTTGGCTTAGTTTTTGCTAAATGAATACTAGCACAGTGTTATACATGATGTTTTGTACATCCAAGGTTATATTTAGGTCTTTTCAAGGCCTGTACCAGATGATTTTTCTTTGATATGTCCTTATATGCAAAATGTTGGAACTGAAAGATGAGTTGCTTTCTTTCCACATGACTGTCTAAAGATTTTTTGACTGGGGTATAAAGAGGCCCCAGACAGATTCCCTTTGCTCCCAGATGACAGTGCAGCACAAAAACACATGCACTCCCATTAGGCACATGTTTGAGAACATATACAACTCATATTCTCCCAATCCAAGGCTCTGGCCAAGAGGCCAACAATGAGTGCATGAAACTACAACTTCCATAGAAATTAAGAGGGTAAATGTATATGTAGAGATTCAGTTAGTTCATTAGTTTAATTCAGAAATGATCTTCCAAAAGCCGTTCATCAATCTGGGAAAAGTTATGAGGATGATCAAACAATTTAGATATTATCTTTTTATCATAAGAAATGTTTTTTGGAAGTGGAAAATATTCAAGATAGTTACCATTCTTCTCTTCAGTAGACGGTCCAAGTAAAACCCAAAATAGGAGCATGGGATCTTTCGGGGAAAAAAAGCAAAAAGCTAAAGTTTAGACCTCACAAACCTCAGTGTATGTATTCAAGGATCATTTTCAATGTAAAAAGAGTACAATAAGAAACTGACAAAAATTTTATTTTTGGAAGAAGAAAGCCAATCTTATTCTCAAAAGAAAGGACTAAAAAGTTTACAAATTTCACCAACCTGTCAATATATAATCTTTCTTTATTGTTTCCAGATGCATAAAACTGAGCTGAAAATTGATGTCTTTTCTTTGCACAAAGGACAGTAAAACCTACCATATGTCTAACAAACCCACCCTCATTTGTATTAATGGATTACAAGAGGGATTAGTGTTACACCAATGGCACTACATTTTTACACTCACATAAACTGTCCCAGGCCAGAAACTCGATCCAGGTGTGTGCACACATGAAACTATGATAGTGTTTCATTGTGTGAATGTAGAGTATGTGAAATGTATAAGTTTAGATCAGTCTGCTGACTAGAGATCATTAACTTTTATTTCATATGATCGTCCACATGGGAGGAACCCCTCTGCAGCAGGATCCAGATGGGAGGTTTTTGTGATTTTTAAAACTACTTCAAGAGTGTAGTTTCCCACTAAGTAAAGTCAACTGTGAGATACTTGGGGGAAAGATAAGAAGTGAAACAAAAATCATACCCGGAGAATGAGTTCATAGGCCTTTAAAAATGTCTTAAGCTAATAAATCACATCCTAAACATCAATTTAACTCTCGTCAGACAAAGAGTTATGTGTTTAAAATGGGCTTAAAAAAAACTTTTTCAGATAAGCCTATTTATCTCCTCAGGGCAGTGAGGTAAAAAAAGACCTTGAGCCCTTTTCCCTGCCTTCAGTCATAACATTGGATCTCTGTTTTCACACACCAGCAGTCACACAGTTTCCTCTTGCTTGCCTGCATCAGATTTCTTATCCACATTAATCTCCCGGCAGCTAAAAAAACAAGACACAACATGAAATTTCTTGTACTGTTTGGAAAGTGGATTGTGTGGACTTTTCAGTGAATGGGACGCTGGAGATGTGTTCTATTTTGAATCCTTTGAATTATGGTCCCACAACTTTGAGGGGAGTAGAAAGTGTTTAGAATGGATGAATGAATGAATTGTGAGCCCTGACTTGCATCCTGTGTCTAGAATATTACATCAACGGGTTCAGACAGGTCAAAGCTGCAACTACTGTTATATATGGTCATATTAGGTAGCCACAATGGACAGTATTATACAGTTCTAAGTGTATATATTTTATATATTCATATATATTCATGCATTTGGCAGACGCTTTTATCCAAAGCGACTTACAGGGTAGAGAGGAGCTGCATTGGCTGGGAATCGAACCCAGGTCAACTGTTTGGAAGGCAGCTATGCTAACCATTACACCACCACTCCTCATTTTATATTATAAACTTATTGACGGTTGGTCATGGGTCAGCATCTGTCTGTGCTCTTTTCATTTTGATAGCATGCAATAAATTATGGTAAAACCTTTAACAGGTACATGGTGATATGTATATGGGATATATCCGAATGTGACTTACTTCTCCTTTTCAGTGTTGCTGAACTGTAAAGTGTATACCGACTTGCAATAACACCCAACACTACAGGATTATCATCATGTGCCCTTCTTTATTATATTTTACGTTTCAATATTTCAGTTAGCTCATGGAAATTCAAATGTATACATTCGAGGTTCAACTTTCACTTTTCCTGAAAGAAGACGTGCAAGGGAGAGAAAACAAACAACCCAACTTGTCTAAACGGGCATTTTTCTTTTCCAAGTTGAGGTAGCAGCGCCATCTGGTGGGGAAGAAAAAAAAAGACACCATCACCAGTGTAAACTTGATTTCGCTTTTTTCCCCGATTGGCTGTTTTCGGGCACGTGACCAAAACAGAGTCATGGCGGCGTCCGCTGCAGTCCGGTCGAGCATGGGGCTGACTTTGAGGCTTTCCCGAAGTATCCCGGACTGTAGCACGTGTCCTCTGTACAGACTAGTGAGCTATTTAAACAACAAGTCTAATTTACAGAGGAGGGGCTCCTTTGATAGTTTCCGGATGATAAATCGGCATTTACAGACGAGTATAGGTGAGTGAGCTAACACTTAGCTTACTTGTAAAGGCTCGTTCTTTTTTCAGCATTGTTTACATATGATGTGACGCAGTAGTTAGTGATGGTATAAAAGGTTTCAAGCTAGAGTTTGAATTCCTGGCGATGCTCGAAGCTATTTTAACTAATCGGAAGTGCGTTCAATAACACTTGTGTAACTCCAGCATTCCCAGTTTGGGCTGTTGTGAAACTTAAGCAACAGGTTAAACCTCCTCCTGTTCAGTGAGGCTGCGCCCTGATTTCCCCCTGTTTTTTCTGTTCAAAGGTCTGCACAAGAGTGAGGAGGGTAGCTCCAACGCTGAGGAGCCAGACGATGTGTAAGTTCTCCAGGTCCAGAGATAGTAAGATATCAACGGGAAATAATAGCGCACGCCACACATCTTAAATAACATCCACTACTACTGCTACATCTATTACACTTGCAAATAGGCCAAAGTCAATGGGAGCTTCACTTGATTTTAGTGTGTAAGGTTCCGATAAATTGCTACCTATTTATATTAAACGCCCTTAGCAGAACTTGGCTGATGAAATTAAATGCAATTGAAATCGAATTAAATGCATATTTCATATCTATTTAAACATTTACAATGGGGAAACATGTAAGTCGCTTTGGATAAAAGAGCTAGCCTAATTCCAAACTTAAATGAACAAAATACAACATCCTTATCCAATAGAAATCTGGATCTGTCTTGGTCAGACACTATTTTCATTGTCAGTAATGTGTGTGCTCAGTTTACAGTCAGAGATATCACAGGGCTTTAAATTCAAACAACAGTTCACTCGCTGAAGATGCATAAGTTTTGATTTAGAAAGGAATGAGCGTGCACAATAATAGAGGCATATCTTGCAACAGTTAGTCACCAAACCAGTTTAGTATCAATTAGAATTAGCTTTTATTTTTATTTATTTATTTTTTCTTTACAAAAACTTGCTTAATATGTGTCAACAATTCAGTCGACATAGTTTTTCTGGAATCTGATTCAAGTGATTTTGGTTTATCCTCCTTGTTTAGGGTCAATGTGGTGTACATAGACCGGACTGGTCAGAGGATCCCAGTTAAGGCCAGAGTGGGTGATAACATCCTTTATCTGGCTCACAAACATGGCATTGAACTGGAAGGTGAGGGCTCCTGCAAAAGCTAAACAGAGGCCTGCAGCTAAAATCATTACCCAACATTTGTGTTTTTCTTTTTCTTTAGGGGCCTGTGAGGCATCACTTGCCTGCTCAACATGTCATGTTTATGTGAATGCTGAACATTTTGACAAGCTCCCAGAACCCGACGAGAGGTCTGTCCCAATCTTTTATCGCATACATCTCAGCATATTTGTTTGTGATGGAGTTGACCGATATCTCGTTTGCCAGGGAGGATGACATGCTGGACATGGCGGCCATGCTTCAAGAGAACTCCCGACTGGGGTGCCAGATCGTTCTCACTCCGGAGATGGACGGCATTGAGCTCACCCTGCCCAAAGTTACCAGGAACTTCTATGTGGATGGCCATGTTCCCAAACCTCACTGAGACGAGGAACAGATAATGAAGAGATTGGGATTGGAGAAAGGTGTCACTTTGAGCGAGGCATTACATATGCTGGTTGGGCGATGGGGGTGACCGTGAAGAGATACGCAGCGAGGATAGTGACGTCCATGGCAACCCCCAAAAATATCATACCTACCGACAGATTCTGCAGCCGAACAAACGTCAAGACAGGCCTGCAGATGACAACCAGGCTCAGTCGGACTCCACACTGGCTTCACAGGGGTTGATATTAATGGTTACTCGAAAGCGAAACTTTGATGTATTTATTTATATGGAATGTTCTCAGGCTCTCTTTATGACATCATTCGATCTCTGTCTGTTCATTGTCCAAACACCAGACGACTGAAGAAACACCGCAGAGCAAAGTCAGTGTCTCTCTGCCGATCATAGAACATTCCTTTTACAGCTACAGCTCATATACGCACAATTTTCACAGGATGTTGTTGATAATTTTGACCAGTCCATTATCACACCGAGTCACTAGTGGGACATCGTATACAAAAGTTCATTTAAACATGTTGCAGTTTTAACCAAGTTAGCCAAAAGTCGTAAACGTAACAAGAGTTTTCCTACAAGTGGCTCTGTCTCAACAGAGGGGCCGTACAACTTGATGAAGTGTCTTTGATGTTTAAAGACCATCTCTTTGCAAGATTAAACTGAATTCAAGACTTTGAAACTTCAGTCATCATCCCTAGAAACATTTCAGAAACATTTAGGTTTTAAGAAATTTCATTTGAAAGCACTCCCTCACTGGTGAGGGTAATAAAAGCTTGTTTGGTTCATCGGGTTCAGGTGTGCTGTGAGCTAAGAAGGAAGTTGGTGAGTTTCATGCCATCACCTGATGAGTTCACATCTGTCCCCAACCCAAGTGTACTGTACTTGTCCAACATACGCACAAATGTATCTTAAGTTCTTTTATTCAAAGACGTGCAATAAAATCTAATTAAAATCAAAATTCAATTTGACAGTTGTCAACTGTTTATGCTAATTGGCAAGCTTTTTTCCCAGTTTTGAATTCAGCATCAAACAGGGAGCTTGTCGATGAACCAGGCTCACAAATGCAATCTAGCAAACCCAAAACAGCTGCGTAAGTCGACATAGCAACCAGCTCCCCTGGTTTGTGGTCCCAGCCCAAAAACGACCCACCGATGGCCGATGCTGAAGATTCATGGTGAGCGTAAGTGTTATTGACAACATGGTAATGAATTTTGAGTGGCCTGTGCACTTTTGCGTATATATTTCTAACAAATAGCTGAGTAGCCAAAGGGGATTTCACGAGTCCAGGTCAGGCTAAAGTTGAACTTTTTGGCCAACCCTTTTAGGTGAACGTTAGGGGAACGCAGCTTTGGGTCAGATTTGGTAATAATTTAGCATCGAGGTACATTATTGAGCAGCGGCACACAACAGACACCAATAGCAATGTCTGAAGCGTTCCTTAAAATGAATTTACAAAGAGGACAGGGAGCATAGAAGTTTGAAATGGGTCAGTATTGGCAGACATGGGTTCATCTAGTAGCCTTCACGCAACAACCTGCCTCGGCACTCGCGACAGTTAAACTAAGAACCGCGAAAAACTTCCGAGATTCTAGAACTAGAAAAGTGTAACTTTTGCGTTCTAGAACGCCTTTAAACCATAGAAAGTGGTCTAAAATTGGTTACATTTATTTCGGTGAGTTATTTTTGATGCATTACTTTGTATTTTTATAGGGACGTTTCTAGTTGTCAATATTTGCTGTAAACGACGACATTTTAAACGGAAAGGCGTTAAGAAAGTTAATGTCCTGACTTAAATACTATGTGACGAGTTAAACGTATTTAAAAGTCCCCACTGTTAGTCTAAAATTTGGAAATAAAAGCTCCTGAAACGTCTGTGCTATTCCTGCTGTCTTTGTGTACATCTGTGACAGAACCTTTTAACCTTAACCTCTTTTTTATTTTTATCAACTCCTGCTGTTGTGCTTTTACTTTTGTGTGTTGTTCACTGTCATTTATTATGCAGAACCTGCTGCAGCATGAGCGTTGGACCAAAAACAGATGCTGTCTTCATCCAGGACAATAACAAAGTTGAGCAAGATGATTCCCCTTCAGCACTCTTCTTTCTTTTTCAAGAAGTTTCAAAACTAGCGTCACCTATTGGTAACACTTGCCTGAACTCAAATCCATCCGCACAGTTGCTTTATGAGGCCGCTACAGACAATAATTTCATGAATAAAAAGGAAGCAGTAGATGAGCCCTCATTCCAAACCTTTTATAACTCCTGTCAACAAAAGTTGCCTCATATGTTGCCATGTAATCGCATGAAAACTATTGGGGACGATATTTGTAACAGCAAGGCAACGGTTTTGGATCAGACACGTACATGCAACAGCCCCTTGAAGGTGCTGAGCCTGATCAACCTGCACTGTGAGAAGCTCCTTCATCAGAACGTTGATGACTTTGGCTCAGGTTTGCTGCAGCTGGGCCGCTCGACATCCGCAACGGTAGCTGCAGGGCCAGATGGGAAAGATGGTGGAGCTGGGGGGGCAAAGGAGGGTGCAGAGTGGGCTTTAAGGCCGTGTCTTTGTCTCTGCGAGAGACGAGAACAAGAAACCACCGCCTCCGTCAGCCCTGTTGGATGTGTGAGGGCGAGCTGTGCTGGAGACGGCGAAAGGTTGCAGGGCTGTGTGAACGGTGCGGACGGTGGCTGTGGTGTGTGTCCGCATGCTGGTGACAGCTTACGCTCTGTTCAAGCAAAGCTTCTGGAAGAGCTTGAAAAAACATGCCTGCATCCCCAAAATGTTCACAGAGAGGAGGTCAAGTTCAGCGCCAAAAAAACAAAATGGAGCCAGGAGTGTATGGAAGACTGCTCTTCTTCTAACAAAGATGCTATGAGTTGGCCCCCCCTTGAAAATTCTCTGTACCAAACGCACACAGACAACGCATGTCCAAATAGCCAGCTAACTGTAAGTTCTGACGGCGAGGGAAAGAAAGTACTGAAACTAGACCAAAACGCAAACATTAGTTTGTTTACAGACACCCAGCAGGCCCCTCTAAGCACAGTTCTGCTCTCCTCACCGTCGACGTCTCTCGCTGCGACGCTCTCAAAAGATGACAACGCATTCACTGCATCTCAAACGCCCCCCCGAGTGGCTCAGCTAAAATCCTCAAGCTGCGACGGGTCCTCCGGAGCATCAGGGCCAGATGTTTCAGTGGCGACAAAGGAGGAAAGCGATCCACTTTGTGCTCGAAAGTGGAAAACCAAGACTCCGCGAAAACAACCTCACCCCTCCCGCAGTGCTGACGTCCAAGACCCAGACTTCCAGGGTGTGACGTTCAGGATGGACACGGAGGTGGACGACACCAAGGAGCAGTGTCGTCTCCTCATAACTTCAAAGTACAGGTAAAGGCAGATGAAGTGTTCATTTGCATGCGTTATTTATTAACATTGTCTTGGTGGAACACGCTTCAGTATCTACTGTGCATTATCACAGCAAGGAGCTCAGCAAGCGTGTAAGAAAACCAAGGCCGAGGACACGGATGTTGCAGAGATCGCTTAAAACCAGCAGCTCAGATGAAGAGAATGAGCTGACGACTAATGTTAGTAAGTAAGAAACACACGATCAACTGCTCTGTCAAATGAAACTTTCCTCATATCTAAACTGATGAGACAAAATGGTCAGTGGTCCCAGTTTTGAAATTCAACATTTTTCAGCAGTCACAATAAAAGTACAAATGGCTCAACTTTGGGAAATGCTCACTGTAAATAAAATGCATTACAAACAATAGGTTACTTTGTTTTGTGCACAGTTGAAATACCGAAATAGAAAAAGAAAAAAAAACTTGTTATTGAATGCCCACTGGGGAAAACGTAGAGGTAACATCTGTTTAACTTGAAAGCATCACTTGCTGAGCCTGATTTTGTAACGTCAAGTGACATGCAATACTGAATTCCCCCAAGAGAGAGCATCAGCACACCAAAACTCCATGTTCATCTGAGAAACATAAATAACAATATTTGCAATAGTAAAAACGGAGGACAGTGAAAATGAGCATATATTCAAATATGCTTTTATGGTTTGTTTTCCTTTCGATTTTTCACTTTAGTAATATTTCTATATAATTTATCATTATTATTCATCATAGTTATTAGTTATTTATAGATTGACATCCTTTTCTTTAGTTTTGCTGTAGTACAAGTACTTCCTTTATTAAAATGGTATTTTTCAACCAATAACTGAGTGATAATTCAGTTAATTGCTCCTGTAGCGCAGACCTAATGTGTACTTTATCTTTTTTTAAATATTTTTTTTATAGAGGGGAAAGTCTGCGCTTCATGCTGCACCAGGAAAACCCCCATGTGGAGAGATGCAGAGGATGGGACTCCTCTCTGTAATGCTTGTGGGATAAGGTAGTTCCTGATCACATTTTTTATGTTAAATGTTTTAAGGACACTCTTATTAACCTGTGCATAAGGGCTCATGTTTGACTGACGCTAGTCTGGATTAATTTCTAGCAAGATTTTAAGGATTGATGGGCAGCCGTACACGCTGGGATGAAAGAAAACTTTAGGGCAGCACTAAAGAGTGGGAGACTTAAAACAAGCAACAAAAAAACAAAAAGCTATTCAAAAAGCCATTCACCGTATACTTAGACATCATCAGGTCACACTCCAGCAATAAGTCAAAAAATAAAACTAAAACATGTGTAAATTAACAAAAAAAAGATAAAATGAGGAGCAATAAGAAATAGATAAACAATAGACTGGCCTCTATTTACCAGAGATTTCAGGGGGGAAAAATGGGAAACACTGTGCTGGTAAAGCTGCGGACGTGCGGATTTATAACCCCGAAAAGATTGGATTTGCTTCCCCTCTCTGCTCAGGATAGGCTGTAAATCAGAGTAGGCTGAGGTGTGATTGGGTTTTATAATGAAACGATGGAGAGAAAGACTGGAAAAGTCCAACTCTCGTACGACATTGTGTATGCCCGGTGTCACTGCGATATAAAAGCTGCATCCCAACTATACATTCTCCGGTGAGACGTGTTTGTCCAACATGGATGAAAAAAGAAAAACTATCAGGTCTTGAAACATCACCCAGCACTGTCAGTTTCCATTTCCTTAGCTGTGGGTGTGTTATCCATGATCAGGTACCTAGACTGTCTTAGAATCTTTTTAGGTTGTTTGTTGGTTTGGGATTTTTCATCATGCTCAGGTTGACCTGAATGTGACCCTTGTGACACATTCCCGCTACATGCTGTGATTTAAAAAAACAACAACATTTTTAAATGTGTTTTAATACAATTTGTTTTAGATTGCAGGCAGCTGCACAGACGTGTTTGTGTTCTAAAGTAGTTATGCTTTCTGGAGAGGTGAAATCCACAAACCTTGCACTCACTTAGCTTTTAGCTTCCCGTTTTACACGTTCAAGGTTCATGAACATCTTGCACAAAGGCACTTAACTAAAGTCTTTGTTACGCCCCAGCTACAATTAATCTGAGGAGGATAAGGAGAATTACTCCATGCTGGCTTGCGTTTTCACTTTCAGGATCTCGCCCTGCAGAAGTAAACACACGCTTGCCCCCAAGAAAAGGAATAATGCTTTGTTGGATTAGCCTTGCAGCTATTCTTTTGTCTGCAAATCCTCGATTAAGACATCAGAAATACTCATTTTTCAAGCAGTACCAATTATTTGTGAGGCTTGAACAAAATCGCATTCCTCTTCACACCTGATTTCATTGCAACTGTGCTTTCTTTGTCGAATGCTTTTAAAGGTATAAGAAGTACAGAGTGCGCTGTGTCAGCTGCTGGCATATCCCTCGGAAGGAGAGCAACTCCAACTCGTGCTGCCTCAAGTGTGGAAACTTTGTGAGGCTGACCTCAGCTCCGCGGAAATACACCACTTAGAAAGTGTACACATAGAGGGTTTTATGTCCATTTGGGATGGAAGATGTATCAGAGTTCTTTCCAGTTCAGCTCGATATGAGAAAATGTGTGAAAAAAAAAAAAAAAAAAAAAAAGTAAAAGAAGAAAATGTAAAATGCTCCCCTTCAAGTTTCCCTGTTTGTGCTCCATGATCATTACAGACACCATTTGTTGTTTCCTCCCCATCTCACTGAGGGGGGACTTTATGTGAGGCTGAGACAGCTTTTGTAGCAGAGCTGAAAAATTATTCCGGACAAATAAACAGGAAACTGAAGGGCTGCTGTCACACACACGCACACACACAAACACAGATACTAATTGGGTGGAAAGTTTAGCCAAGATTGTTGACATTTTTCACCTAAATGGCTTCAGTGTCTCTACTGCAGGGTGGCCAGCTGTGTCGCCCGTGTACAGGTTCACTTTTATTAACAGCAAAACAATTTACTGCCTTTGACTCGTGCCTTTTGCTCAGTTCAGGAACTAAGTGCATATTTGACTTTTTTAGTTGTCGTTTGTCTTGTGATTGCATATGTGGGATTTATTACATTTTGGTGATGTTTGTGTTTCTGGTCCTTAAATTGGGGCACTGATTTTTGTCTTTAAGGTTTTTGTGTGAGTTTGCATGGGTTTTCTGTCTGTATAAAATTAATTAAGAAACATTTCAAACATTTCCTGTCTTTCCTTTATGGGTGTAAGTATCTGAATAAAGCCAGAAGCCCACATAAAGCCATCTCTGAAATATGATGAAATAATAGTTGCAGAGGGCTGAAACTCTACGTGATGAGGCTTCCCACAGTTTCCTCAGCCCACCGTGCTCTCCAGGCCAAGTGGGTGGCCTCGCACACACTGACAAAGAGCGGCGATTATTTTAAAATTGGATTACATTTCTTCTTCGGAGGCACCTCTCTCACCATCCGCCAAACTATCCAGCATTGATCAGTCCCACAGAAAGCAGCGCTTCTTTAGCCAAGAACACAAAATGGATGAAAATGCTATATTTCTACTGCTCCAATTCCCACAGCAACTATTACTGATTAGCAGGCTCTCTGTGCAGGAAAAACTAAATCCTTTTTGGCTTTATTCATGTCCAACTTAATCTTTTTTCCTTTTTTTTTACTCCCCTACATTTTTAAGGCAAACTTTCCACATTTTTCACCCACATCCGATAACAGCATAGTCTTAACAATCTCAAAGTGACTACAGTAGTTAAAAGTTAACGTTTTACAAATAGACGTGGTTGGAGAGGCTTTACTAAAAAAGATTTGATTAAACTTCAACTAATCAGTTAAATGGAACAAATCAGTAAAAAACTGAGGCACAACAGAGGGAAAAGGTAATGACCCCTATTTAAATCAGAAAGAAAAGCCCAGATTTATACTTTAGATTAAAAGCATGACTTCATAAAGGAGTCTGTGAAGAATGAATCAGTTAATTTCTCTGTTATTTTGTGACTGCTGTTTTGATGCTGCTTTGATGAAGGTTCTGTCAGTACGAGGAGGAAGAGGAGGAGGAGGAGGAGGGAAATGAAGTGGGAGGCTTAGATGTTAAAGATGAAGTCTGATGCGCGACAGGCTTCTTTTTTTTTTGTTTTTTTAGTGCGTGAAAAGGGTGGAGGAGGCCGGACGGGTGCCGATCTCGCCTGTAGGGACCATGACCCTGGACCGCGGACCCATGGATGAGACGGACTGCCTCGCGCGCGTGAGGGACGGGGGCCGTTCTTTGTCCAGAGAGGTCAGCGCGGACCCGGGCAAGAGGTCCGCTCCCAAGCCTCCGTACTCCTACATCGCGCTCATCACCATGGCCATCCTCCAGAGCCCTAAAAAGCGGCTCACGCTCAGCGAGATCTGCGACTTCATCAGCGGGCGCTTCGCGTATTACCGCGAGAGGTTCCCCGTGTGGCAGAACTCCATCCGTCACAACCTGTCCCTGAACGACTGCTTCGTCAAAATGCCGCGGGAGCCCGGGAACCCCGGCAAGGGGAACTATTGGACCCTGGACCCCATGTCGGCCGATATGTTCGAGAACGGCAGCTTCCTGCGGAGGAGGAAACGCTTCAAGAGGCAGCGGCTCTGCCTGGGCGCGCTGAGGGGTTTTCGCGCGCAGGGGCCACTCGGAGCGCACGCCGCAGCCTCCTCCAGCCTCCTCAGACCCGACCCGAGCTTGGAAAGTGGCCCCGGGTCCCACTTCAGCCCCGGCATCCCACCCGTAAACGGCATAATACCCGCTCTCTCCTCCATATTCAGGAGCTCGCCGTCGCTACTGGACCCCGGACGCTGCGTAACGGTGCCATCTCTGGCCCCAAACTTCGCGGTTCCCGTCTCGTTCCACGGATTTATGCTCAACTATCCCTTTTCTCAGCTGTCCATTTTTCCCTCCGGAGCCCTAAAAGTTTCTCCTAACTCAGCTTAAAATAATTAAAGTCTCCTGCTTTAGACTTTCCAGGGAGGTGAGAACGTCGACAATGGGTTTGAATATAATAAATTGTTCAAACACTCTGACCACCAACAATTTCAGCAATAAAGCAATTATTTCCTGATAGGGGATGTTATTGATCTCAATGTAAAGAGATTACCTCATTGTATTAAGATTGTTTTTTCTTTTCAATTCAGAGAGGTAAGTCAAAAACGTAAGCCGTTTTTGACTGGACTATAACACAGCGAAACTGTGATCTTTTGCTGCTGGAGTGAAAATCAGTTTGAAATGAACTTGGACCGCTCATGTGAATTCAATGCACTCTAAAAAGGATACAAGTCAGCATGATGAGTGGGGAAAATAAGTGCCTTTTGCGCTCCACATCTGAGGTCAACAGATTTTTCTTTCAAATTTGTGTTTTTCACTGAGTGTAAAGACACAGCTAAAGGACATGAAACAGGTATGGAAAAAGTAAAATAAACAAATGATATTACAAAGGCATGACATCTTTTCTGGTTTTGAGATTTTACCAGAAGAAGAACAGTCAGTTTTGTGGACGGAGATGTTAAAGGTTTTATATGCCACAAAGATCATAAAACATAATCTAAATGTATTTTTTAACAGTTCAGATGCATCGTCTAGATGCACTTTGCACAAATGAACCTGGACAACATTTTATTGAAGAATAAAGAGTCGCTGATTGAGTATGGCTGCATTATTTTATTTCTCAATTATTATTTTTAAATGAGCAATCACTATTATTTTCAGACTGACATTTGTATATTCTCTTTTCCAGCATTGCTTCTTGTTTATTGCGTGTGTTTGCGGAGTTATTTCTCCAAAAGTGCCATATTCAGTCAAAACAGGTGCTCAGATTGCAGAACATGCTGGTCCCATTAGCTTTTGTTAGCTTTTTTCTATGAATATTGAAAAAACAAACAAGCAAAAGCAGGAAGGCTGATAGATATTATAATAAGTTCAAACTTTTGACATCACTCTGTTGCTATAAAAAGAATAGCATACAGGACATGTTTGGATCCTTTAAGTTACCTGAAAACTGCTTATGCAGTGATCCAAAAATGACTCATTGTAGGTCAGATAATATACTTTAATGTTTATGTTATGTTTATCTTCATGCATTTAGCAAACACTTTCATCCAAAGCCACTTACAAAGTAGACACAATTTTACAGTTATCTTCAATATGATAATAAGTTCTCTAGAGGAAAATCCCTAGTCAGAATCAGTGGGGACTGCAAAGAGAGAGGGGGGTACAGAGGTATGGGTAAGAGTCAGGATAAAAGATACTCTTTGAAGAGGTGGGTCTTTCAAGAGTTTCCTAAAGACAGAAAGGGACGCTGTCATTCCACCTTCTTGGAACAACACATGAAAACAGTCTGGATTGTCTTAAGTGTGGTGTAGGCACTGCTAACGACCATCCGTTGATGACCGGAGTGACCGAGTTGTGTCATAAGCCTTTGCAAGAGGGTTCAAGTAGACGGGAGCCGTACCCTTAAGCACTTTGTAGGCTTTACTGGGCCTCAAAGGCCTGTGAAACATTATTATCAAGTTATAAAGGGATGTTTATCTTATTGAAACCAATCCATCAAAACATGTGTGTAATCTTTTTTTTTTTTTACCTCAACAAAAAAAAGATAATGAGTCAGAATTTTCTTAAAAGGACACGCAGAATCAGCATTGTATATCCTGGCAGACATGAGAAATAATTTTTTTTCCTACAAAGCTTCACCCACCTGTGCATACTAAAAGAAGTCAAGAAACCCAAACAGCTTTTTTCTTTCTGACATTTTTTGCTTAATTATGTAGTGTGTGAACAACTTTTTGTACATTTTTTCTTTTTTTTGCAGATGGGCTGCTTATAAGAACGTCTCCTTTGCTAATGGCTTGATCCACTCTGTAGAAACACTAGCTCGATGTCTGAAAGTAGGGTTTAGGTGCACGCATGATGTAGCTGCTCTCCTTGCCCTCTCCAAACAGCTGCCTTCCTCCTAAATATTCCCTCAGGGAGCAGTTTGCCTTTCCTGGCATACTCAGTCATATCGGGTTTTATTAAATTACACTGCACAGGCACGCTTATGGTCCAGCTTCCTCCACAGAAAAAGAAATTGAAAAAAAAGAAAAAAAACAGTCCATAGATCTCCATGGAGTGTGGGCTGTTTAAGTCAGTTAGTGAAGTCTGAGCCAGATACCCTAAGATATATGTAGTGTGAGGCTTGTAGCAGGAAGTATGATGTAGCGTGTATATTTGAACTACGAAAGTCTCCTCTCAAATCCCTAAAACCTGGAACCTTGACAGATGAAGGGCAGAGCCACAAGCTCACAAAATATCCCGCAGAAAAATTACATGAGAAGACAAAGTTATAAGTAAATGTTAACCTATCAAATAACGTATATATGAACTAATTTAATCAAAATTTAATATAGAGCCAATTAGCTTCCATTTGGTTTCCTTTTATTATTGGACATGTTATCATACAGGAAGGTTGGATGAATAATGCTCAAGAAATTCCTAAGTAGTGTGAAAAATACAAGTCACATTTGAGCAGTACTTAGAACGAGACCATGGCCACAACTAGGAGTAACAGGTTAAATGAACTCTTTTTATAGTACATTTGAAGACCTGAAAGTGACCGGCAACTTAATGTTTATGATAACCTCCTTATTCCCATGAAAGCAACCACATGTCCTTCACATGCTGTGGTCACTGCATGAGTTGGCCCTCTGTAATCCACAGGACCTTCTGTTTAGGAGATGCTCTGACATATTCGTTTAACCATCTGGTTGTTCCATCGTCTGGTAAATCGCACACGTTTGAAAACAAGATCGCAATAGGAGTACATTCATGTTTCTTAAGGTGCTTTCTTGACTTATGTACCCCATCTGGCTAAAAACTGGACCCCAAGAAGCACATTTGTACTTTTAGAGGCACTGAAAGATGAGTCTATGCACAAACTACAAGGGTACAACAGTAGGATCATTGAGGGTATCACCTCAGTAACAAGTTTATGGACCCCTGAAGACAAAAAAGTTGCTCTCTTTTATTGAAAGTGTAAAGTTACTCATCTCAACCATCATTTCTGTTTCCACCACAATGAAAAACAATAAAGAAAAAATTGTAAGTTTTTTTTTGATAATGAAAAGATCAAGATCACTGAAAAATGGCTCCATAGATCTATGAAGTTCTTTGGTAGGTATATTAGCTACTGTCTGTTGTTTAACCTTCTGGCTGTCAGCACAGTTACAGAATTCACTGTTTCCTCATTGTTTAAGTTAACTGAACGAAACAAAACAGAGAAGTTAAACACTTCATCAACAGGATGCATTGACTTTTCACGGCCATGACCTCGTTTTCATGGTGTTAGCCAACAGAATAATCCTATTCACGTTTCTTTGCGTTTTCTATCTCTTTAATTGGCTGACATCTATGGATTACAATGAAATGTCATTTTTAATTACATAGCGAGTAACTGAGCACACTTATTTCTGAAAATGGACTTGTCATATCAAATCAATTAAATTAGGTTAGTGATAAAACATGCAAAAAGACCTAAATAAATAGGAAAAGAACACAGATTCCCAGGCTTTTTCTCCAACTTAATTTACATCTCTGCTATTTCCAACTTTTTCAATTAGATATTTAAAAAATGAATACTTAACAAGACTAGTTTTAAATGAGGAAGTAAGCGATTCGATGCTCGCGATATACTGAAAGTCCAGGGTTTGTCATCCACTAAAAACAGGAAGTTGAATTTTCCTCCTGTCTCTGTCTTTGTCAAACATTTGTTTCCTGTGAGTGGAAATGCTGGGAGGATCCACGGATGTTGGAAAACTGTCACACAAGACCCTGGTCAATTCTCAAAAAGTTACTTTCTAAGAAATTTACCACGGAGAAGAAAAAGCCTCTCCTTGTCAAAGGTGAACTACTATCAAGCCAATGGGAGCCATTGTGCAAGTGAATTGTTTACTAACGAACTAACTAACTAACTAACTAACTAAAAGCAAAACCATGTTTCACCTTGTTCTGTTTTGCTTTATCTTATTAAAGCTTAAAGTAACTTGCGTCTTTGACCTCCCTACTCCCTGATACATCAATAGTAAGAGCAGCGTAAGCCGATCCAAATGATTCATCATTTGCAGTGTTGATAAAGAAATATTGTGTTCATATTTGTCAAACAAATCATCAAGGAGGATTAACTGTTTGATATTGGTTGACTAAAAAGGATTTGGAATAGCTTTCATTTTGTTCTACAGTTAAACCTTATATTCCAGCTTGATTTAATTCTTTTTTTTTGTTGGCATCTCTGCATTTGTGACTAAAACCACTTTAGTGTTGGCCATTTTCATTTTCCAGACTACTAAAAATCTTGAAGTACATTCAATTTGGACACCGTTAAACGAAACAATATGTAAATTTTTACTGATTGTGATTTTCTTTATATAACAATGCTTTGTATATTATCAAGAAAATAAATCTCGGAACTCCTTTCTGTCAGCATCAATGTTTTCCCTTCAACTCTGCATTATCTAAATTACACAGGCAGAGCGAAGCACATAACATTACCACAGATCACTTAAATTACTGTTCACATCTAAATCATATCAAGACCAAACGCAGCAATCCCTTTAAAAAAGTAAAACTTCACAGCAATAAAGTTTTAGTATCAGGTTACAATGGCTTAAGACCCTTTAATTCCCTGTTGGACCTCACCAACATATGAAGCAGGTCTGGGGGATCCACAAAGGGACATTTGGACTTTTGTGAATGACCCAATGTCTGGAGATTTGCTCAGATGCACTTAAAAATAAGCCTTCCACAACTTACTGAGCGGCAGCCAGATTTGGGGATTCTGCCTTGCTTCACCTTCTGCTGCCTTTTCATTTTGAGTTGGAGAGGAGAATATACTTCCATGACAGCCTGCACCTGTTTCCAAAAGCTTTCCACAAACACATTTGGTTAATATTCTCTGTTTTTACCCTTGAGCACTGCGCTCTGCAGAAGCATCGTCGGCTTTCTTTGTTTTGTGTTCTGCAAAAATAAGAAGAGTCAGGCTTTGCCTTTTCTTAACAGAAGCAGGAATCCCACAAGCCTTGTTGAAGGAAAATCCTGAGAGTCACCCTGTTCATGTTTGGTAAAATTAAGTGATAGTTGAATTCAGATCTGTGCTGCTCTGAATTTGTTGGCCGAGGGATAGACTTTTAACTAAATACTTTGCATTTCCTACATTTATTCCTTAATCATAGCACATGAAAACAAACAGGAGGAAAGAGGTAAACGATTCTCGATCAGTTCTCTTTGACTATGCTGTTGAGAGGGCGGCAGGATGGTGTGGCTACCATGGTAGACTGAGAGAACAAGGGTTCCCGGTTCAAATCCCTGGGATACTGGGACCTTCCTGCATGGAGTTTGCATGATCTCCCCGTTTCTGTGCAGTTTCTCCTTTGGGTACTTTGGATTCCTCCAACTAGCCACAGACATTCATATTAGGCCAATCGAACATTGTAAATTGTCCCTAGGAGAGGATGTGAGTCTATATTGTCAGTCAATTTGACTGGCACAGATAGTGGTTGGATGTTGTTGGAATGTAGTAAGGTGGAAAAACATGCAGCCAATGGTGTGATTGTGCTTTATTTCCTTTATTGTATTTAAAAAACACATATTAAACGTGGGGTCCCAGTTTTCTATG